ACAGAATGTAACTATATATCTATCCCAACCACTTTGAATACACAGATACAAAATGGACATTCATCTGTATACCCCATTTTTTCTAAGTTCCGTTATTGAATATTATAGGTGTGTAAACTCAGCAAAATATTCCAAAAGAGTCCAGTAGCCCATATTAGCATTGGGTCTTCTGTTTAACTGGCAATGTCAGAAATTATTGACCTGAGTCCCCCACATCTCAACTTAACAGCATGGCTTTATTTCTTATAATTTCGTCTTCATACTTTTCTGCTGGATGGTTAAGACCAAGGTAAAGCAGGACCTATGCAACAAGAGTTGTAGCTTTTTGGTCTGAGAAGGTCAGTGAAATGCCCTCAGGATTTGTCCTGAGATCCTGTACCTCAGATTGTAGAACCTTTATCAGGGCAGCCATGTGGATGAGTCACGGCCAATGCTTGGCCAATGTGCTCTCTGTGAAAGCCTGAGAGAGTGTCTTCTCCCCATGTGACTCTCCTTAGGCCCACTCTATGTCATCGATCACTTTCCTCTTTGGCCCCATAATCTTCTTGATCAGAAAATTTGGGACACTACCGAGGTACATGACGTTACAGTACAAGTTCTCATATGTCCTGTGTCTTAATTGACCTTAGAAGGCTAGGGCCAAAATGTTGGCTTTCCTTGTATCCCTCCTTTTTCTCTAATTTTGGTCTGCAAACTTAGGTTGTTAACCATCCAGAAGAAAAGCTTATTGTTATTATCAAACGATTTGGGCTATCAATCTTAACCTCACTATCTCACTGCATTTCAAACATCTTAGGCATAATAAGGAACAGGTATTCATTTTTAGCTTTATAAACCTTGGTGTGAATCTCAGAAGAGAGGAGAGCTTATTGATATCACACACACACACACACACACACACACACACACACACACACACACCCTACTCATATTTCTTTTCCTTCTGGTCTTTCTCAAATATAAAGTCCTAAATCTACTTACTGGATATGGTAAGATAAAAGCTTTGATCGTTGCTGTTAATTGAGAGCCGGATTCATTGTTGATACAGTTGTCCTAATGAAGTTGTAATTGTTTAATGCACAGTTCTTCTCTTTTAGAAAAAGTGCTAATGTTTCACTTGGGAGATTTCCTATTAAGCTGAGCAGGGCATGCCCATTAGTACGCTTCCACTTAGAGTATGAATTAAATCCCTCAAATTTGTATCTGAAAATTACTCTGCCCATTTTCAAAGGCTTTTTTGGGCAAGTGATCCAGAAACATGAAAATATATCCCAAGAAGTTCATCCTCGGGTCCTTCTAAAGCATCCCTATGTCCTTGGCAGGCCGTTCTTCCTTGGACTTATAGGGTAAAACAATTTGTTTTATACTGTATGTAGCCTAATTTTAAAAAGAAATATGCAAAAGTGTCCTGAGTGCCTCTTGAATGAGAATACAAAACATGGCACAGAATTTAATTAATATTCCTTCATCGTATTACATTTGAACTGATGCCAATATTTCTTGCCTCGCTAGCCAGCATTTATGGGCGTATTTCATCATATGTACATAATTTTATCATTCTCTAAGTGATTCCTAATATATCCCTTGTAAATCTTAGATTTCTAATATAATGAAATAGTGTATCGATTTCATCATTCATCAGTTATATTGCTGAAATAGTGCATAGCTTGACCACAGATTAATCATACTGCTATGCAGATAATAGTTAATGATTAATTCATCTTTGTGTCATTTGGGAAATGTGTCTTTCATGAACAGCTTAAAAGACTGCCTGATATATATTCATTTTTAATAAACTTCTTCATTGTTCTTCATGGACTACATTATGTAGCTATTTAAAGCACTGGGACCCTTAACACTCAGGATATTACAAGGGCCTTAGGGGATTTGTGTCAAGAACAAGGGCCAGAGACCAAATATGTATTTCATATGCTGCTTCCAATTAATCGATGCCTGCCACGTCCTCACCCACCACACAGCACATTCACCTGTCAAAAACACACCAGATGCTGGCTTTTGTCCCTCACTTTTCAAAGTGTGAATATGCTGCTCTTACCTGTAAGTTCCTGATATGCCCCTGGCATAACCACTCTCATTTCTTAGCTCATGCTGCATATCTACCCTGAGTGAGCTCTGTCAACTTCCTTCTCAATCACTCCTCTGTTCCTCAAGCACTGTGGTTGTGAAGTGGCCTGCGACGCCCCAGGTACTAGTGGGGTGGGTGGGCAGCACAGATGTTAGCAAGTACACTGGCATCGTCTCTGTGGACCGAAGATGTGGCTGCAGCCCATAACAAGTCATTAAAGAGTTACTGAATGAAGATCTGAGTGTTAACTGAAAGCCACAAAGAAAATCCAAGTTCTTAAGTCAGAAGAAGTGTATGGCAGGTTCTAAGGAAGCTTGGCTAGTATTGAAAATGCATTCTTTAAATTCATATTCAACAATTATGCATTGAATGGTAATATGCCATTAAAGTATAGGACAGCTTTGGAATTGGTGGATATTTTTCAGAAGGTTAAAGGTCAGAGGCATAACAGAGGGCTGTTAAATTGTAAGGCACAGTTCTTGTGTCCTCACGATACTCTGAGGAGCAAGGACAGTTCCGAAGGCACATACTTCTCTGCAAAGCAGCTGGTCACATTAAATAAGAAAATGTACAGACTGCTCAATGGGTTCTTAGAAGTCAGGGATTTCTAAGACTATGTCTATGAACTGCAGCCAGTGAAATATGCTATCATTAGCAAGGGATCCACGAACACAATATGCTATCAATCACAAGGGATCCATGAACACAGTGATGCCTGTTTGAAAGTGATGCAGACTGCTGCAAAATATTAGGAGTCACGATGAATGGAACTTGCACTAGAGCGTCTTCACACATGAATGGGGAAATTTGTTCACCCAAACCAAGGCTAATGGTTTTTTAATAATAAAATCATGCTTTTAATATGCTATTATATACAGTTTCTTGAATTCTGTAAGATAAAAACAATCTAAAAATTTGTTAACTTCATATCCTTATATAAAAAACTGAGCTTTTGCAGAGGTATGAGTTGCCTGACTGGGGGACACAGCTACTGGGCATGTCTATGAGTGTTAAATTTGAGATCTTGTCTATTCATGGCATGACATATGGCCACAGGTGGGGTGCATACCTATCTCTGCTGATGCTTTGTCTTTCAGTCTGTCTCCTATAGATTTCATAAATATTTTCAATGATGATGAATTACAATCTCTGCATAATAGCTCATCTTATGAAGCAAAACCTCAGGGTGAAATTTTTCGTGACAAATGACTCAAATATCTTTGTTGATGGATGGATCAAATAAATTCTCTAGTGATACCATGACAGAGTGTCATAGGGCACCAAATGATGGTCTAATCTTTCACTGGTAAGAGATAGAGAAGAGAGATTAAAAAAAAAAGCAAAAGAGAAAGGAAGAAAGTGTTATTATAGGAAATGTGTAAGAATTGGGTCTAATAAATCAAATTCAGATTCCAACTCTATTCCATAGAGCTGTGCTCCTTTGTAGAAGTGACCTTTTCTGTCTGAAGCGCCATTCACTAAGCTATAAAATGAATAGATCAGTTTGTAGAAATCTGATTCAATGAGGTCCAAAAATATTTTAGCCCCTTTACCCTTCGATTAGTATCAAAAATGATACTGGCCAAATTTTAGATATTCCTTCAAGACTGTCATCTTTTTTATCAATCACATAATGACAATGAAAATAAGCATGACTTAAATATCAGTATTCCAGTATTGCATGCCCTAGTATTTTGCTCTTCTTTGAGATAGTACTTGTGAGTACTTCAAGATTTTTGCAAGCTATCAGTGAAAGTACCTTGTGCATAAAGAGAGTCATTAAGCAAAATTCATACTGATTAAATAGAAAATTCATCTGCAAAGCAGCTTTTAATTGTACCACATGAGAGAAGGTTTTGGAGACATTGATCTAAAATTATGATCTGTGTCTTAGTTGCTTTTCTCATTTGCTGAACTGACACCCAAAGTGAAAGAGGGAAAGGTTTATTTAGCTAACAGTTTGTAGAGGATTCAGTTCATAACTGGCTGGTTCCAAGACAGGGTGGTGTGGCAGAGGGCAGCAGTTCGTGGAGGTGGAAGACAGCAAAAGCAAGCCAGGGAAGAGAAAGACAAGACTCTTTCTGTCCTTTATATTGTGTGCAGGCTGCCTCCCTAAGGCAGGTGTAGCATTCATACCCTTAATCCAAGCATCAGATTGTAATCCAATCACACACTCTAAATTCAATAATCTTTGAAAGCCTGAAGGGCTCCCATGACTGCATAAGTCTTTGGGAGGCGATCTAGATACATACCATAACCATCACTATTTTAAAGTTTGTTGCCTATAAATGTATAACTAAGAGATATTTCTAGGTAAACACGGTTCTTTTATGTTTTTGAGACAGACTATGCAAAGCTATGAATTCACACTGGCCTTGAACTCCCTAGATGAGATTTGCCTCAAACTCATGACAATCCTGCCTCAGTCTACTAAGTGCTAGGATTAGAAGTAGGTACCACCACGCCTGGCTATAAATATGGGTTTTGGAACTTGTTTTAAAGACTAGTGCTAAAATCAACAGACTAAAAGCATCTAAAGACAGATGGAATTTCAATTTTGAGTTCAGTCAAATAGAAACATAGCTTAATCTCATTTTTATTTTAAAATTCTCTAACAATTACTAGAGTCCTTTAAATAGGAAGAGTTACACATTCATCTTTCTGAATACACATTAATATTAAGATGCATTTATATGCCTCGAAAGAAGGCCACTTGATCAATAAGGTTCATATTAATACAGTAACTATTTTTTTATTTTATAGTAACTATTTTTTTTTAAAACAGAGGTTGGTGAAACCAGGGATGGAACTCAGGCCCTTGTACTTGTCAGGCAAGTGCTTATTCTACTGAGCTATCTCCCCAGCCCTTCAAATATTATACTTATCTATTGCCCCTTTCCTCTGTATCTCACAGCTATACCCTTGCTGGTCCAGATACCATTAAATGCCTGGCCAATGGCAGGTGGAGTGAAAGTAATCAACAGTGTCTGGCAGTCTCCTGCGATGAGCCCCCTAATGTGGACCACGCCTCTCCAGAGACCGCCCATCGGCTCTTCGGTGATATTGCGATCTACTACTGCTCCGATGGCTACAGCCTGGTGGACAATTCCCAGCTCCTGTGCAATGCCCAGGGCAAGTGGGTTCCCCCAGAGAATCAGTCCATGCCTCACTGTATAGCTCAGTTCTGTGAGAGACCCCCATCTGTCTCCTACAGCATCTTGGAATCTGGGAGCAAAGCAAAATTCGCGGCTGGCTCAGTCGTGAGTTTTAAGTGCATGGAAGGCTTTGTGCTGAACACCTCAGCAAAGATCGAATGCGTGAAGGGTGGGCAGTGGGACCCTTCCCCCCTAGCCATTCAGTGCATCCCCGTGCGGTGTGGAGAGCCTCCGAGTATCCGGAATGGCTATGCGAGCGGATCAAACTACAGTTTTGGAGCCATGGTGGCTTATAGCTGCCACAAGGGCTTCTTCATCAAAGGGGAGAAGAAGACCACCTGTGAGGCCACAGGACACTGGAGCAACCCAATTCCCACATGCCACCCCGTGTCCTGCAGTGACCCGCCCAAGGTTGAGAATGGCTTTCTGGAGGTAAGAGACCAATGAACTTTGACCACCAACAGAGCCACCACTAGGCCTGATGCTGGGATTTTGACACAGGTGCTTCATATTCATTGTCCAAAAACAGTAAGTAGCAAAAGTAGTAAGTAGTGAATACTAGAAAAAAATTAAGGTGATTATTAATCCTTCCAATATATAGGGTCTTGTATTTTACTAATATATAGGTATTCTAGCATTTTGTGGCATTATCTTAGCGTCCATGTTAAGTTAAAGTAAGCAAATTGTAACAAAATATGGTCTTGCTTTACATAGTTACTTCAGAGGGTCAGTCAAATAGCTCAGCAGATTAAAGCAGATTAGGCAGATGCAGGGGCCGGAAGTTCGAACCCCGGCCCTGCCATGCCAGCCCTGCCCCAGGGGGCAGGGGTCACACTGAGATGGAAGTTAAGACTGGACTTGGGGGTGCGTGCCTATAATCCCAGTGCTTGGGAGGCTGTAAACAGGAGAATCACTATGAGTCCAATCTATGTAGTGAGATCCTGTAGACCATGTACTAAATACAAAAAAATTTTAAAAAGTTACTTCAGAATGCATATGCAGTTTCTTTTAGGAAATAAAGATCTAAACGGAACCTAAAGAAATGTATTATCATTTCTTATTTTTAGGCAAAAGGTAGGATAACCGCTTAAACTGCAGTTTTACATTACTCCTCTCATAGATATAAAGGTTAGACAGTGAAAGTTAGCCTGTCCTGAGCATCCGCTGCTTGCACACTGATAAGTCCTCTCAATAAGCCCAGCAGGGAACAGGAATAAGAATCTATTCCCGGGGCAGGGGAGATGCTCAGTGGAATACGCGCCTCTCTGGCAAGTGCAAGGGTCTGAGTTCAATCCCCAGTTCTGGAAAAAAAAAAAAAAAAAAAAAAATCTACTCTCTAATTCAAGGGCAACTTTAAATGTGTGTTTTTTGTTTTTTTTTAAGCCGCAATATATAAGGCCTTTTCTTCATTAGACTCAAAACCACAGCAAAATCTTTTAAGACTTTTGTGAAAATGGATTGGTTTTTAGCTTTGCATTGAGAATATAGAGTATACGTGAGAGAAGACTTTTAAATATATTTATATAACAGATAGTTCTGGAACCCCTACTAGATATCAGACTTAGTTATGAGCACCAAAAATCTAACATTTAGCGATACAGATTAAGTCTGTGATGGAAAGTGGTTATACCACCTCCAACCCCATAACTCCAGGAATATGTGCAAAATCAACTGACTACCACCAAGTTCACTACAGTGCTGTAGCTGGAAGTTACCTTTATCACCACTGAAGGACCATTATCATCTTTTTAAAATTGAAATCAATTTATCAAACACAACCTCATCATTATATATTTATCTGAATTTTTTTACTTCTCTGAATTTTGATATGAATATTAATGTTTATTTAAAAGATGGAAGATGGATTTTTATTTTCCATCTTATAACCTAGAAGAGATCTTTAAAAAGTGTGGATGAAGGAAATAAAACTCTAGTAGTATTCTTCAGACATATTTATAAACATCTTTTATTTGTATGCTGTGCTACAGTAATAACAAATACATGTGTATTTATGCATCGGTTTACTACTCTATGGTTAGAACAACAAACTGTAGCATTTCTTTGGTCAAAAAGATTTTTTTCAAAATGTACCATATAATCAAGTGGTGGTGAGACAATGGCACACATACTCCAAAAGGTTTGCTATTGTTGATATAATTATAATTTTCAGTGTGACCCAAATTATTCAATCTTTTACATTTTACTTCTGTACTTCTAGATAGATAGGTAGATAGATAGATAGATAG